AGCCGGGACCAGGAGGAGCTGGGCCTGGACGGGAGGGGGCTGGGCCTCAAGAGGCCAGTGGCAGGCAGGAGGAGGCTGGGCCTGGAGGGGCCGGCCCGAGGAAGCCGCCCAGAGGCGTGAGCGGGGCTGGGCCTGAGGAGGCCACAGGCTGGGCCTGCAAAGGCCGTTCCCCGTGACGAATGAGCCGGGCCTAACGAGGCCACTGGGAGGCAGGAGGCTGGGCCCGGCGGAGCTGCCGAAAGGCCGCGGAGCGGGAGCTGGCCAGCGTGGGCCTGCAGAGGCCGCCGGCAGGCAGGAGGCTGGGCCTGGAGAGGCTGGCTGGAGGAAGTCTGGGGCGTGGGGAGGCCGTCGGAGGGCAGGAGCCGGGCCCGGAGAGGCCACCGTGGGGCCCCGCTTCAGGACGTTAGGGGCCTCCAAAGGGCGCGGAGCGGGAGCTGGGCCGGAGCCGAGTCCAAAGAGGCTGTCGTGAGGCAGAGGCTGGGCCCGCGGCCGCAGCCGGGAGCAGGAGGAGCTGGGCTGGTGGAGGCCGACTGGGCGACGAGTTGGGCCCGCAGGGGCCGCCGGGACCAGGAGCGAGCCCTGGAGAGGCCAAGACTCGAGGCCAGCGTGGGACTGCAGAGACCGCCGGCAGGAGGAGTTGGGCCTGGAGAGGCTGGCTGGAGGAATTCTGGGGCGTGGAGACGCCATCGGAGGGCAGGAGCCGGTCCCGGAGAGGCCACCGTGGGGCCCGGCTTCCCGGGAGCAGGAGCGAGCCCTGGAGAGGGCGAGACTCGAGGCCAGCGTGGGCCTCAAGAGGCCGCCGGCAGGCAGGAGCTGGGCCTGGAGAGGCTGACCTGAGGAAGCCTGGCAGCTGGGGAGGCCGTCGGAGAGGCAGGAGCGGGAGCTGGGCCGGAGCCGAGTCCAAAGAGGCTGTCGTGAGGCCGGGGCTGGGCCCGCGGCCGCAGCCGGGAGCAGGAGGAGCTGGGGTGACGAATGAGCCGGGCCTAACGAGGCCACTGGGAGGCAGGAGCCGGGCCCGGCGGAGCTGCCGAAAGGCAGGAGGAGCTCTGGCCTGGGGAGGCCGCAGTCAGGCCAGAGCTGGGGCTTCAGGACGTTTGGGGCCTCCAAAGGCAGGACGTTTGGGGCCTCCAAGGAGACCGACTGGGCGATGAGTTGGGGGGCCTGTGCAGGCCTTCGGGAGGCAGGAGGCTGGGCCTGGCGAGGCCGACTGGAGGTCAAGTCCTGGGCCTGAGGAGGCCGCCCAGAGGCGTGAGCGGGGCTGGGCCTCAAGAGGCCAGTGGCAGGCAGGAGGAGCTGGGCCTGGAGAGGCTGACCTGAGGAGGTCTGGCAGCTGGGGAGGCTGCGGAGAGGCAGGAGCTGGGCTGGCGGAGGCCCACTGGGTGACGAGTTGGGCCCGCAGGGGTCGCCGGGAGCAGGAGCGAGCCCTGGAGAGGCCGAGACTCGAGGCCAGCATGGGCCGGCAGAGGCCGCCGGCAGGAGGAGCTGGGCCTGGAGAGGCTGTCTGGAGGATGGCTGGGGCGTGGAGACGCAGTCGGAGGGCAGGAGCCGGTCCCAGAGAGGCCACAGTGGGGCCCGGCTTCAGGACGTTTGGGGCCTCCAAAGGCCGCGGAGCGGGAGCTGGGCCGGAGCCGAGTCAAAAGAGGTTGTCGTGAGGCCGTTGCTGGCCCTGCGGCCGCAGCCGGGAGCAGGAGGAGCTGGGCCTGGACGGGAGGCCAGGAGGCCGCAACTGGGCCTGGAGGGGCCGGCCTGAGGAAGTTCGGGGCCTGGGGAGGCCGCCAAAAGTCACAGGCTGGGCCTGGAAAGGCCGTTCCCCGTGACGAATGAGCCGGGCCTAACGAGGCAACTGGGAGACAGGAGCGGGGCCCGGCGGAGCTGCCGAAAGGCAGGAGGAGCTCTGGCTTGGCGAGGCCGCAGTCAAGAGAGAGCTGGGCGTGGAGAGTCCGCTGGGAGGCAGAGGCTGGGCCTGTGCAGGCCTTCGGGAGGCAGGAGGCTGGGCCTGGCGAGGCCCTGGAAAGGCCGCCAAAAGGCACAGACTGGGCCTGGAAAGGCCGTTCCGCGTGACGAATGAGCCGGGCCTAACGAGGCCACTGGGAGGCAGGATCGGGGCCCGGCGGAGCTGCCGAAAGGCAGGAGGAGCTGTGGCCTGGGGAGGCCGCAGTCAGAGGAGAGCTGGGCGTGGAGAGTCCGCTGGGAGGCAGAGGCTGGGCCTGTGCAGGACTTCGGGAGGGAGGAGGCTGGGCCTGCCGAGGGCGACTGGAGGTCAAGTCCTGGGCCTGAGGAGGCCGCCCAGAGGCGTGAGCGGGGCTGGGCCTCAAGAGGCCAGTGGCAGGCAGGAGGAGCTGGGCCTGGAGAGGCTGACCTGAGGAAGTCTGGCAGCCGGGGAGGCCGCGGAGAGGCAGGAGCTGGGCCGGCGGAGGCCGACTGGGCAAAGAGTTGGGCCCGCAGGGGCCGCCGGGAGCAGGAGCGAGCCCTGGAGAGGCCGAGACTGGAGGATAGCGAGGGCCTGCATAGGCCGCCGGCAGGAGGAGCTGGGCCTGGAGAGGCTGGCTGGAGGAGTCAGGGGCGTGGAGACGCCTTCAGAGGGCAGGAGCCGGGCCCGGAGAGGCCACCGTGGGGCCCGGCTTCAGGACTTTTGGGGGCTACAAAGTCTTCGGAGCGGGAGCTGGGCCAGAGCCGAGTCCAAAGAGGTTGTTGTGAGGCCGGGGCTGGGCCCACGGCCCCAGCCGGAAGCAGGAGGAGCTGGGCCTGGACGGGAGGCAGGGAGGCCGCAACTGGTCCTGGAGGGGCCGTCCTGAGGAAGCTCAGGGCCTGGAGAGGTCGGCCAAAAGTCACAGGCTGGGCCTGGAAAGGCCGTTCCCCGTGACGAATGAGTCGGGCCTAACGAGGCCACTGGGAGGCAGGATCGGGGCACGGCGGTGCTGCCGAAAGGCAGGAGGAGTTCTGGCCTGGGGAGGCCGCAGTCAGGCCAGAGCTGGGCGTGGAGAGTCCGCTGGGAGGCAGAGGCTGGGCCTGTGCAGGCCTTCGGGAGGCAGGAGGCTGGGCCTGGCGAGGCCGACTGGAGGTCAAGTCCTGGGCCTGAGGAGGCCGCCCAGAGGCGTGAGCGGGGCTGGGCCTCAAAAGGCCAGTGGCAGGCAGGAGGAGCTGGGCCTGGAGAGACTGGCTGGAGGAAGTCTGGGATGTGGAGACGCCGTCGGAGGGAAGGAGCCGGGCCCACAGAGGCCACCGTAGGGTCCGGCTTCAGGACGTTTGGGGCCTCCAAAGGCCGCGGAGCGGGAGCTGGGCCGGAGCCGAGTCCAAAGAGGTTGTCGTGAGGCCGGGGCTGGGCCCGCGGCCTCAGCCGGGAGCAGGAGGAGCTGGGCCTGGACGGGAGGCCGGAAAACCGTAACTGGGCCTGGAGGGGCCAGCCTGAGGAAGTTCGGGGCCTGGAGAGGCCGTCGAAAGGCACACGCTGGGCCTGGAAAGGCCGTTCCCCGTGATGAAAGAGCTGTGCCTAACGAGGCCACTGGGAGGCAGGAGCGGGGCCCGGCGGAGCTGCCGAAAGGCAGGAGGAGCTCTGGCCTGGGGAGGTCGCAGTCAGGCGAGAGCTGGGCGTGGAGAGTCCGCTGGGAGGCAGAGGCTGGGCCTGTGCAGGCTTTCGGGAGGCAGGAGGCTCGGCCTGCCGAGGCCGACTGGAGGTCAAGTCCTGGGCCTGAGGAGGCCGCCCAGAGGCGTGAGCGGGGCTGGGCCTCAAGAGGCCAGTGGCAGGCAGGAGGAG